GCCACTCTCAGGGGGTGCCAGCCCCGGGAAGGGGCATTCCTGGAAAGGTCTGCACACCGGGCTGCACACAGTGTTTCCTTCCAAGAGTGAAGAAGAGTGGGGTTTGGAGTCCTCATGCTCCAGGGTCATGGCCGCTGAGACCAGAGGAGCTGCGTTAGTCTCATCGGAATTCCATGACTCGGGCAGAATTGCACCTGCCATGTTGAGCACTTGCTCCAGGAAACCCCTGTGCTCTGGGTTACAGGAGGTTCTACAACAGGCAACTCTGGTCTGCGGTGGCTGAGGTCAGAGCAGAGGTGCCCCAGGGCAGGGTGGGGCCGACTGCAAGGGGCACAGGGGCCTCTGTGTGGTGACCGGGGGGTCTCCATCCTGAGGGGTGTGGGTGACCACGTGCACACGCTTCCAAAACTCACGGAAACACAGCGCTTACCACCTGTTCACTTTGCTGCATGTAAATTATTCTAAAATAAAGGAAGCAGTGAAGCAGCAGGGAAAAGGCAGGTTTGGGATCTTCATCGCCAAGGCTGGCTTCAGGGAAACAAGCTCTGACCGAGACAGGTGGGCACTTGGTGGTAGCGAAGGCTATGAGCCACAGAGAAGTCCCAGCAAACCCTGTGCTCCGAATGACTTGGCATCTGCTGAGAGCGACGGAGCCAGAGGGAGTGCAGGGAGAGCCAGACAGACACTTCAGAGGCCTGAAGAGTGCGGGGAGAGCCAGACAGACACTTCAGAGGCCCGAAGAGTGTCGTCAGTAACACAGTCATCGAACGCCTTTCAAGTGTCCATGAACAGTCACAAAAATGGACGACATATCTAGGCCCAGAGCAAACCACCAATTCCAAAGCATACACGCAGCCAGGCGACGTTCACCAGTCACAGCGCAGTACCACTGCCGGCTGAAGTCAATACCATGAAGCGGAAAACCTCACCATCTGAACATTTTTAACTCTCTAACATAACTATTAAGCCAAAAGAAAATAAAGTTCTCTTTACAGAATATCTAGAAAACAATGAAGAAGAAAATCCACTGTTCAGGAAAATATCTCCGAAGTTTGAAATTGAGGAAAATTAGTGGTGGAGTGATTTTAATATCACAGCAGAGCACTCGCCCCTCCCTCGGAAAATGCCGCCTCGCTGCCTTCCCGGTCATGGCCCTCAGGGCTGCTGTACTGCAGCCCCATGAAGCTGGAGGGCGTCTTACAGAAAGATGATAATGGGGACATTTTTTAAGCTTAGTAGAGAAGATAACCCTAGAGGTTACACTTTTTGTAGGACATGAACCAGGTTTAGACCTAACTTATCTAATGATCTCATAACCCCAAAATAAAATTCTAAGCCCCCCAGTTGACTGAATGGACTTCCTCTGGGCCAAGGGGACCCCAGGAAACCTGACAAACTGGATTATTAATGGGAAGGGAGGCTGGGCTCCCCCTCCCTGTTGGAGTTTAGGCACAGCTGACCAGCATTTACACTAAAGTAGAGATCGTAAGACTGACAGACTTTCTGTGGCAATTAGATACCAAATGCCAACCTGACTCTGGCATAGCATCGCGTGACAGCAGATAGCAGACCCTAAAGAAAATCACAATATTTTACTCCCAAACACGTGTCTTTGACATGTTTTGAAATGGCTGGGCAAAGTGCGCTCTTGTAGGGGAAAATTGTGTCTATAGAGAGTGGTCTTCCCTTACTAGGTCCTTTCCTGATCCAGGAGAGATTTATGTAAGAGATTTCCGGCACCTTTTAAGGTCCAGAAAGAGACGTTTATCATCTATTCTCTCTTAAGCTACTTCATGTACGAAACAAGAACGACCTTGACTTCCACAACCTCTGATCTTAAGCATTTCTTTCTGCTGACTTCAACTGAAGCAAACCTTAACATTTTCAACCAATTGCTAATCATAAAATCTTTGAATCCACCTAAGCCCTGAAAGCCCCCGTGCTGCCTGGCTTCAAGATGTCTCACCTTTCCAGGCTGAACCAATGTACAACTTAGATGTATTGATTTGCCTGTAACTTCTGTCTCCCTAAAATATGTAAAACCAAACTGTAACCCAACCACCTTGGGAACACATTTTCAGGAACTCTTGAAACTGTACCCTGGTCCATGGCCACTCATATTTGGCTCAGAAGAAACTTCTTTAAATATTTTAGAGTTTGGCCTTCCTCATCAACAATCTCTCTCCCATTTAATTTCAATTCCTCAAATACTCTGTGAAGTCATGCTGTCTTTCTATCCATTACCTCATTCATGAGTTAAAGAGAACTTGGCCACAGAGACCAGATATTTGTATAAAAAAGAGTTTTAACAGTTTGAGAATTGAGCTTTTACAAGACATGTCAGAAATTATTAGGCACAGCCAAGAGTGCTCAGATAGAAATTCATAGTCTCACATGCTTATCAGTGAACAAGAAAACATGAAAATAGGTAAATTAAACATCCAATTCAAGAACTGCAAAACACAGCTAAGTGAGGCAGACAGAAGGACTTTGTAAACCACAAATAAAATTCTAAGCCCTGACCATCTGAATGGACCCTGCCTCTCAGTCAAGGGCATTCCAAAGTTAACCTGAAAATGAAGTTCAGGCCATGATGGGAAGGGGGAGCTTGACGTGTCTCATTATCCCTCCTCCCTGTTGGAATTCCTGAGAGAACAGACTCTTTAACTGTGATAAGAAACATTTATGATCTGTTCTCTCTGAAGCCTGTTACCTGGAAGCTTCACCTCTGTGATGAAACCTTGGTCTCCACAACCTCTTATCTTAACCTGGACATTTCTTTCTAAGTCTTTAGACAATAACTTGACTCAACCAATTGCCAATCAGAAAATCCTTGAATCTACCTATGACCTGGAAGCCCCCCATTTCCAGTTGTCCCCGCTTTCCAGACGGAGACAATGTACGTCTTACATGTGTTGACTGATGTCTCACGTCTCCCTTAAAGATATAAAACCAAGCAACCAAGCATGGCCTGACCACCACAGACACGTGTTCTCAGGAACTCCCGAAGGCTATGTCACAGGGCCATTGGCCACTCGTATTTGGATCAGAATAAATCTCTTTAAATATTTTACAGAGTTTGATTATTTTCATCAACAACTTTCTAAGGAGTGAAGAAGAAATTAATGGTTTGAAAAGCAGGAAATGATAGGATCAGTTAATAGGCACCAAAGCTGGTTCTTTTAAAAAAAGAAAACAATAAAATACAGAAACCATCAACAAACCTAACCAAAAAAAAAAAAAAAATGTAAAATCAGAAATAAGCATCAGAAAATAGCCCAGATGCAGAGTGAATGAAAAACAACTATGACAAGACTACTTTGTTCAACACTATGCATATTGAAATCTGGATGAAATGAATGCTTTTTAAGGAAAATATTATCAAATTGATTTTGGAGGAGCCAATTACCACAGGAGAAGTAGACGCTGCTGTTAGAGAGCCACGCCAGTCACCCACCCACACTCACGTCGGAGGAAGGAGCCACACCAGTCACCCTCCTGCACCGTAGATCCCCAAACGCCATCAGCTCAAAATGATCCTTACACCACAAAGTGTGAGCTGGATCCCTTCACACACCTGCACATATACACACACATGCATGTGCTTACACATATGTACACATGCAGACTCAAATAAACACATATACATATGTGTGGTTACATGAACACACACTTGTACACATATACATGCACACATGCACCTACACACATGCACATAGATACACAGTGCACGTATACACATATACATCCATATCCACACAAATGCACACATGAACATGCTTCCATATGGGTACATATGCTCACACATATACACATATCTCCATCTACACATATACATCCACATGAACACTCATGCATACATATGCTTACACACATCCATGTGTACACACATAGACACACGCACACACAATACACATGTACACACATGGCCACACAACGCACATGCCTACATGTACTTACACACATTTACACATGCACACATAAACATTCACATGAAGACAACACACATATACATATGCACACATATATACCTGCTCACACATTCATATAGACACATGTGCTTTACACATATATGCAGCATGTGCATACACAAATAAACATACCCCCACACACATGCACACATACACACACTTGCTCCAAATGAGAAAGAAATGTCCACCTTACAAGTTCTCGCAAACCTTAAGGAACATGTCATTACAATGCTATGAACCAGTCCAGGAGCACAGAAGGAAAGATCAAGCTTTCACATTCTTTGTTTGAAAAGAATCACAGAATCACTTTCCATATCAATATCGAGGCGCATATTCTTAGTATTAGCAAACAGACGCACATGGAAGGCAAGCGAGTGAGAAAGCCCATCACGGCTGGATCAGAAGACACACCGTCTTACGCCGGTTCTCTTTAAATCAACCTGTACTGGAGAAAATGCCAACAGTGTGCTTTTGGCTGTGTTTTGTGTTTATTTTTTAAACTAGACCAGATGTTTCAGCATTTACATCAAAATAAACATGCAAATACAGTCTTACAAAACATTGAAGAGCGAGGCCTCAGAGAAGAGAGTGCTGCCACTGTCCAAGCACACCGTGAGCTGCAGCAACCTCCGCAGTGGGGCCTGCTGGACCCAGAGTTCAGAACGAGGCTCTGCTCTAATGACACAGGAAGACTCAAAAATATCTTCGAGTGAATGGATGGATAGTTGGCTGGAAACCATGATGCTAAACAGGGTACGATGCAACTGCCATTTCTGTGAACCAAAAAAGAATATACACGTATACATCACCTGTGCACAGTGTCTGCAGAAGGCAGAGGGAAGGCAGGTAGAAGCATTAATTAAGAGCTGCAGATTCATCAGATAAAAATGTGGGACCCCAGGTTAGGTGCTGGGATGCAGCAATGCTGGGTTCCTGGGATCTTGGGATGCTGGGGGTGCCGGGGGTGGTGGGATGCTGGGGTGGTGGGATGCTGGGGTGCTGGGATACATGGAGGCTGGGATGCTGAGATGCTGGGGTGCTGGGGTGCTGGGATACATGGAGGCTGGGATGCTGAGATGCTGGGGTGCTGGGATCCTGGGATCCTGAGTGCTGGGTGCAGGCCTGTTGGGGATGACAGCCTGGGGTGCTGAGTTCTGGGCTGTTGGGGATGACGGCGGATGTTCTCCTCTCCGTCTTTTCAGGGGCGTGTGCACACCACCCTCTGGCATCGTCCTGGAAACTGCGGAACTTGGCTGCCGGGTTGCTGATATGCTCCACATTCAGGGCTGTCCCATCGGGAAAGGTGCCTGTGGGGGTGAGGAGACCCTCTTCTGATCCTCCTGCTTTCCTGGGGGGTGAAGCTGCTTTCCCCGAACACATCAGGCCCCGCCCCCCCAGCCGCGGGACCCCACAGTGTGGTCTTCGTCCCCCGGGCAGTGCTTTCTGTCCCTTTTGTTCTCTGCTGATCCCCAGAGCCTGGCCCTGCACAGGTCGTCAGTGATGTCTGTGGATTAGAGATCCGTTCCCCTGTGCCTCCACAGGGGAGGGCCACACGTGCACACACATGCATACTCACACAGGGTCACACACACGATCATGCTTACATGTCACACACTATACACACGCACTCTTGTGTACACATGGCACACACTTAGCCCAGCCACATGTTCACACCCACTCCCCCTCCTGCTGACATTCTCACAGTCACACACATGCACTCACCACGCCCTCCCCTAGTGGGCTCTGGGGTTCCACCAACCGTAGCTGGATGGCCACCCCATGGCCTTCACCACTGCATGGCCCAACACAGAGGTGTATTGGGGGTCAGCTCCTCCTGGTTCCCTGGGCAACATTATCCTGTGGGGCCAGGCTCAGTCGGCCCTCACACGTGGGGATCCCAGCCCAGCCCCCTTTCCCAGACTCCACATTTGGATTCTCAAGCCGTGGGCAAAGTAGCCTTGCCGGCACTGACTGGCCCCAAAGTGAAACCGATGCCGCAAAGCACTGCTGGGCCAGACGCCAGCCAGGCAGAGTGAGAACAGGACAGGCCCCTGGGACAGCAGTGCGGGTCGGCTTCCAGCTGACTTTGGGGTCCCCAGGACCCCACCTTTCTGGAGGGGTCACCAAGCCGGGGCTGGGCTCCACCTGGCCATTGTGAGATGTGCAGCTTTGTGAGCCAGTGCTGCCCATTGGGCAGTTTAAACAGCAGTGGTGGGAGGATGTGCAAACGCCCCCAACCAGGGGCTTCATTTTCGCACTTCACTAGAGAGCCTGCTTGCCAGCACCCCGCTACCAGGGACCCTCCATACCTCCCCAACTCCACCCACCCCCTTCTCTAGCTCCCCTAGGGGAGGGTGGCACCTTGCTCTTCTGAGCGGCGGCGGGGAGAGCCGGGACCCCGCACATCACCATGTCCCTCCTGCCCCCAGCTTCTGCTTGCCTGTCCCTGGGAGCTGGGATTCCAGGCCGATTTCAACTAAGTTCTCTTTTAAGTGCATACACACCAGTGGGATTTGCTTACTGGCCTCGCTTGTGCTGGAAGAAACTCTGTCTTTAACTTCTGTTCTGCTCATGTATATATTCCGAGATGTTTTAAACAACAATTCAACCATCTTCCTGGCTTTCACCTGGTGAAATTACAAATGTTCAGAATTCTCACCACCTTCTGGTTAAGCAAGTGTCATGGGTTGAACTGTGTCCCCCTGAAACTCTCATGCTGGAGTCCTAGTCTCACAACCTCAGGATGTGACCTTATTTAGAGACAGGGTCTTCACGGAGGTGATCTGTTTAACGGGAGGTCTCAGGGTGGGCCCTACACCCCATGGCTGGTGTCCATATAAGATGGGCACATTTGGACACCAAGAAACAGACGACAACCACATACGGCCACGGGGGGTGCCTTCCGAGGAACCAGCTCCGGCCGCACCTTCATCTTGGCCTTCCCGCCTCCTGTCCTGCTGTTTAAGCCGCCTGAGAGAGTGCCCCGTGATGGCAATGCCAGCGGACACATATACAGCAGGCATCTGGGGTCCAGCCTGGGAACCCAGACACAGACACCGTCTCTACCTGGCAAGATGGGGCGACAAAATGTGAAATGAATAGATCCAGTCTCTGCTCCCAAGACCCAGCACAGGGCTCCAAAAACCCTCGGAATTTCCTGGGTGATGGCAGCAGATTCTTTTGTTCAAATGAGGTAAGGCTTGGTGGCTCCTGGAGGGGGGCCGGTCACCAGAGAGACCAGCCAGGATTAGCACCTGCAGCTCTCAACCCTGCACCCACCCTCCTCCAGGCATCATCCACCATGATCTGATGCAGCCTCCATAAGAATGCCTGGACTACTGGTCCGTAGCAGTGCCGGGTTGCTGCACACATCCACGTGCCAGGAGGGTGGTGCCCCCCACTCCACGGAGACAGATGCTTCTGTGCTGGGGACCCTTTCGGACCCTGCCCTGTGCCCTGACCCACCTAGCTGCCCATCTGCGGTCTTTCTCATCTCCTTTTCCTGCGTTCTGTGATAATTTTGTGTTACATTCTTGATATTTAAGGCTAATGTGTAACTAGAAAACTGAGTTTTAATATTTAATGACCTTGGATTTGGGAAATCTCTTACTACATTATGTTTGGAGATACTTTCTCTGCGGGGTAAAATATTTTATCGAGGCTGTACCCATGTGTAGAGTGTCTTTACCAACAAAGGCTGTACCCATGTGTGGAGTGTCTTTACCAACAAAGGCCCATTTGAGAACTATCTTTGGGAAGGAATATGGTCATCTAGCAGGGATCTGAGGATGCCAACTTCAAGACGGGGTGAGGTTCCAGGAGCCTGAGAAACATGATGTTCAGGTTTCAAAACTATGTCAAGGCAGCTTATTTGATCCCATGTAGGTATGGTGGCCCTCTCCCGGGTGGAATTCCACTCTCCCAGGTGGCCCTCTCCCGGGTGGAATTCCACTCTCCCAGGTGGGCCTGCCCCACGTGGGCCTCCCCTAGAGCTCCCGGAGCGCGCCCACCCCAGGGTGAGTCCTGGGCCCTCCCTGCCCCAGGCCGACCCAAGTCCTTCAGTGGCTCGGGCTTCCCTGCGCTCGGGCTGCGCGCCCCGTCCAGTCTCCAATTCAGTCCCCGGCTGGGAGGGAGGTGGGGAGCCCCGAGGGGCAGGTGGCCGCGCCGCTCCCCGCTCCCTGGGGGCCGGGCTCTGCGTCTGCTCGTCCCGCCCCGCTCCGCTGCCAGGTCTCAGCTCGCTCCCGGGGCGGCCCCTCCACGCCCGCAGCCCGCATTTCCTCTGCGCGACTTTCTGTGCCCGCTGCACTTCCAGGACCGTGGCAGGGGCAAGTCACCGCCTGTTAAAGTAATGACGGAATGAGGGACGGAGGGGGAGAGAGAGAGAGAGAGAGAAAGAGAAGAGAAGAAGAGAAGAGAAGAGAAGAAGGAAAGAAAAAAAGGAAGAGAACGAACGAGCGGAGGAGCGCAGGCGCGAAGGACGCAGTCAGAAGTTCCCGGGGAAGGGGGAGGGTGCGCCCGGTGCCAGGACCACAACCCGGGCACACAGGAGCCCTGAGCGGGGAGAGGAGGCCGGCGCGGACCCCCCGGCGCCCCCCAACGCCGCCCTCCCCCGCCGCCTTCCCTCCCTTTCTTCTTCCCGCCACTCGCCGGGGGTCGCCGCCCCGGTGTCCGGGCTCCGCGGAGCTGGCGGCGGGGCGGGCGGGCTCGCGGCGTTGTTCGCCTTCGCCGAAGTGTGGCCCCGCCGCCGCCCCGTAGCCCGCGCGTCCGCGTCCCTTTCGGTCTCCAGGCAACCGTCGCCGGGTCCTCGCGGCGGGAGAACCCAACCGACCCTGGCGGCGGGACGCACCGCGGATCCCAGAAAGGGCGGACGAGCCGGGCGCCGGCGTCATGGACCTGGTCATCACGCAGGAACTGGCCCGCGCCGAGAGCCAGCAAGGTGACCCCAGACCCGCCACGACCCCCGCCCCGGGGAGGCCCCGGACCCGCCACGACCCCCGCCCCGGGGAGGCCGCGGACCCTCTCATCCCAGCCCGCCAGATGGGTGACCCCTCGAGGGCCACAGCCGGAGCCTCCCACCTCCCGATTGTCTGACCAGGGCAAACATACAGGAAGGTGCCCACACCGCTGCTCCCAGGCGGCGACTGCTGCTGTGGCCGGGGCCTGAGGCGGCTGCCTGGGGCCTTCGGGATCGCGTTCTCCGGCTCACTTCTCCCAGCCCAGTGACCAAACCTTCCTCAACCGCCTGTTTGGGACAGATGCTGCGTCCTTGAAGAAGGCCTACGAGTTGATCAAATCGGCCAACCTAGGGAAATCGGAGTTTGACCCCTCAGAGAGCTTCAGCCCAGACCTGTTTGTTCTGTGTGCAGAGCAGGCCCTCAAGGTAACTAGTTCCCGGGATCCTCGGTCAGGGCAGCTTTGACAGGGAGAGGGGGGCCTCTGGGCGTCTAGTGGATGCAGAGTGGGGCTGGGGAGAGGCAGCTCCTGGCCGGGCAGTCAAGGGGCCAGGATGGAGGGTGGGGGCTGCAAACAGGCTGCACCGGTGCTTGGGGCCTGTTCTGAAAGCGGCCCCATGTGTTTCTGGGCAGGGAGGCCACCGCCTCCAGGTCTGTGGTCTTTCATGGTGATGTTCTCTTGCAGATGGGGCAGCCAGAGGTGAGCGAGGACTGCATCCAAATGTACTTCAAGGTGAAGGCGCCCATCACCCAGTTTCTGGGCCGAGCGCACCTGTGCAGGGCCCAGATGTGTGCCCCAAAGTCGGCAGAAAACCTGGTGAGAGGTGTCCTGTGCCCCTTCTCCCCAACAGTTCAATTTTCACCCCACCTCCAGAACAGTGCCAGCCTAGACCAGGCTTTAAATCGTTCTTAGGGTAGTAGAGTGAAGGAATTAATTTCCAGAGTGACACGAAACTCGCACCATTTCCCGTTCATGCTTTTTGCTCAAGTAGTGGTATCTGACATGCAGAACCCCTGGACCTTTGCCTCGTCGCAGCGTGGTCTCTGTGGCATCTGCACCTGCAGCTGCCCCGAGTGGGCAGAGGGGAGCTGGGGTGGGGTGGGTGTGCTGGAGCATAGGCAACTGCGGTTTCTGATGCCTCGCTGTGTCTGTGGGACGGGAACCCGGGTGCAGGTCCACGACATCGCCACGACACTCAGGCTGTCTGCCACACCATCACCTGTGGATACACAGGGGGTACCAGGCCAACCATGAAGAAGCCGTGGCATCTGCAGACAGGGCAATGAGCAGGGTTCAGTGTTTCAGTCTAATTGTGCTTCTTTATGTTGCCTTAGGAGGAATTTGAAAATTGCGTGACTCAGTACATGAAGGCCATAAACTTTGCCAAAGGAGAACCGAGGTAGGCGAAATTGAAGTGGTCTTTTCTCATTGACCGGGTGAAAGACTTCAGAGCCAAAACTTACCAAGTGGGTGTATTTATTTGAACTGTGGGTTTTCCCCTCGTTTGTGGTTTGTGATTTTCACGCACGTGTGATCACTGCCTCATCTCGTTAGCGTGTGGACTAGGCCACATTCATGCAGAATTCCGAATCACAGCCTCTTCAGCACTCGGCGGTTTTTGTGATTTTAGGTGGCTGTGAAGAGGCTGTTTTCTGCCGGGCGTGGTGGCACAAGCCTGTAATCCCAGCTACTGGGGAGGCTGAGGCAGGAGAATCACTTGAACTCGGGAGGTGGAGGTTGCAGTGAGCCCAGATCACGCCACTGCACTCCAGCCTGGATGACAGAGCGAGACTCCGTCTCAAGAAAAAAAAAAAAAAAAAGTCTGTTTTCTCCACGGCCTCCCTGGGTGTACCCCCAGGGCGCCCGGCTCCTTCCCCAGGGTTCCTTCTTCGGCCCAGCGTGCCTTTGCTGCCCTCTAGCGGACGGCTTGGCCAAGGCCGCTGTCCCTGCAGAGGCGACTCCAGCATAACTTTCTACAAAATCAGTGCTTTCTGCACAAAAACAAATATCATGCTTGAAACTGTTAAGCTTGCAGAAAACTGATTCATATCCTATGCAAATCAGTTTTGTGCAAGCTTGGCAGTTTCAAGCATATTTGTTTGAATATATATCACATATTTGAATAGGATACAATGTTTGGAGGAGATTTAAATAGAAGCTGTGGGTTCCCTGGTCCCTTCTACCCACATCGGCCTGCTTGTCTGCTGGTGGCCCTCTCTGGTCACACTCTGTTGCAAGTGGTGGGGATGTAGGGCCCAGCCCAAGAGATCTTCCCTGCATGGGGACGGGGACGGGGAGGCCCCATCTCAAGCCACAGATTCTAAAGACAAGGGGTGTTTCCGAGGGAGGTGTGACGCGGGAGTGGTGCGTACCACGGGAAGGAGGCTGCTCTGCTCCAGGACCCTCGGGGGCACCGTGGATGGACCATGGGGTGACAGAGCCTTGCCAGAGGTCAGGATCATCTCTGGGAAAGGGCCAGGTTGTGTGGAGAGAGAGGGCAGCACTGGCTTGTCCAGGGCAGTGGCAGTGGGACAGGAGACTGTGAGCCCGACCACGGGCATGTGGAGGCCACAGTGGGGATTTGCAGAGAGCCACTTACAGGGAGGAGATGGGTTCCTTCCGAGGTGCGGCATCCAGGGAGAAGCAGCAGGCCGCTGGAGTCCCATGGCGACCCGTCTGACTCAGGCAGGCGTGACCGTCTGGTCAGGACACCCCGCACCTCCGCTCCTCTCCTGAAAATCTGGAAACAAGATGAGTCCTGTCCCAGGGTCACATGGTGGCTCTGAGTAAACTCAGAGGAGTGGGCTTGCCACAGCCACCCTGGCGTCCTCCTCCCACCTGGGCATTGAGCAGTGCTGGTACACCTGGTGGCCAGCCCAGGACCACCAGGCACGGAGGCCCTACAGGGCAGAGCTGGCCTGCCCTGCTGTGGAGTGGCCCTAGAGTGAGAAAGGCAGATGGGCCCGGATTCCCTTACTTCAGTCCCTGCAATGGCTCCCTGCTGCCCAGGTAGAGGCCCAGACCCCTGAGAGGGGTCTCTGTTTAGTCTTCCAGTCCACCCTCCTCCACTTCACACTGTATGCTGGCAGACAGGAACTTTGTTTCCCAAAGGCTCCTCCTTCTCTTCCATCTGCCTGACCTTCTTTTCCTCTACTACTGTCTTGGCTGCCTCCTAACATCTTTCAGGTCACGGCAGGCATGTAACCTCCTCCAGGTAGCCTTCCTTGATTCCCTCTGTCCTTGCCCATTCTTGTCTATCCCTTGAGAGCCAGAGGAGGCCTTGGTCAGTGGTGTGTTTTCAAGGGAAGGGGGCCCATCAGTTTGTGGAATGATTGAGGAAGGAGGCCGTGGTCTGGACTCGGGAGCCTGTGGCCGGGTCATCACAGCTGGGCCTGCACTAGAGCCATGGCACGTTGGACACAGGGCCGCCCAAGGCCGTCCCAGGGAAGGGCTCTGCATCCTGGTGCTCCTGCAGGCCGGGCCAAAGCTTCTCAGATGGGGCTGCTGCTGTCTGCTGAGAGAGGACCTGAGGCCCCTCCTGGGAGGGGCTCCCGAGACACAGTGGCCCCTTGGTTTTGCAGCTTGGGCTGGCTAGGCTTTGACCGCGTTCTCCACGTCCTCTGCTTGTGCCGTAGGTATTACTTTTTGGTGTACAATGCATCAGTCCTCTACTGGCAGATGGTGAGGCCGTTCCTTGAGCCTGGATATCGCCACCATCTGATCCCCAGCCTTTCCCAAATTGTAAACGTGCTGAGTCAGACCGAGGAGGAAGACAAGGAGTGGCACGCCGAGCTGATGCTGTGAGTTGAGCTCGCCGTGGCCTCCCAGTGGGCTGCCCTCCGACTCTGAGGCCACCACCCCTTCTCCTGGCGGGGCGGATGGGAGTTCCACATCACTGGGGCACACTCCGTGTGCATTTTCTCCCACAGTCACAAGTTTCTGTGCGTCTTGTCCGAAGGTTGTTTCCAAAATCTGTAGATGATGTTTGCCGTGCCCTGGTTATGAGGTTATGACAACAGAACAAGATACTGTGTTTAGACTCACGGCAAAGCAGATGTGACCCTGCGCCACCCAGCCTGGCTCCCGATTTTAAAATCTTAGCTCTTAAAGTATTAATGCAGTAGGTGTTTTAACAGCATAAAACTAAGCGGAGTCAGCATGTCCGGAGCCCAGGCGGCCCTGCGAGGAAGCTGGGGCAGCACGGGGCAGGCCGGCCTTGCCTGGCCTTAGCCCTGAGGGGTCACTGCAGACTGTCACCAATGCCTCGGTCACTGTGCTGGGCGGTGGAAGGAAATGGGCCCGAGTGTCTGTGGAGCTCTCTGTGCAGGCCGGGGACGGGTGGATGTCTCCAGTGAGGATCCCAGCTGTGCCAGCTCCAGAGTGGTCCTCCTCAACCCCGAACCCAGAGCCTGCAGGTGTGGGTTACCTGCCATATGGCCTTTTGGGGAACCTTTGAAGAATATCAGTACAGATCTTTCATTTCAAAATGCCCCGGTGCTAGCGGTAACGAGCTGTCTGGCGCCTGCTGGCCGTTCCCGGTAAGCCGCACGGCCTGGTTCTGGCTGAAGAAGCTGACCGCGGGGTAGCTTTTAAAGTTTGTGAAACACAAAATATACAATGGTTTAATAACCTGGTTATTAGAGAGGAGAAAACAGTTTCAGCCAGGTTGACCAGTGGCGCGTGTCTGTTATCTAGGGAACTTCTGGAGTGTTATCTGCAAGCCGGAAGAAAGGAGGAGGCTGCCAGGTTCTGCTCCACTGCAGCTCCGTTCATCAAGTCTCACGTGCCGCAGAAATACCGGCAGATGTTCTCCGTTATGGTAAATCAGCATATTAGAAATAGAGACGTAAGAAGTACTTTTTCTTAAAAGTCATTGTTGAGAAAACTGCATAGAAATTATGTAAGTTTGCTGAGAGATATAAAAATATATATGTATAGATACATGAACAAAAATATATGAACATATTAAAAAGAAATAGCAGTTCATCCAACGTATAGAACTGTGACATTTTGAAAGCAAAACAAGGTCTTTTGCCTTTATCATCGCTCTTTGAATTTTTCCTTTGTAATAGCTTTGAATTTTTTTGAAGTTAATAGAAAATTCACAAAGATACAAGTAATTACTACAAGAATATGTACCAAAAGCATTCATCAGTGATTCATTTTGACATATGGGGAATCAGCTTAAGTTGTATCTGAAAAACTAGATACAAAATTTAATTAATGAGAAAGTAAAATCTAGACACAAAATCTGAACCTCTATCTAATTGTTTGAATCCAGATTAATAATCTCTTCCATTTTATGACAGGTTCGTCATGAATTAATGGACGAACTTCAGTTAAAGGAAGAAAAGAAAAATTCCATTAGCCTGTCAGTCACTTTCTATATTAATATGCTAAAAGCGTAAGTCATTTTGGGAGGGAGAGTTTCACAAGTGCTGGGCTTGGGAGTGCTCTGTCCCCTCCATGGGGGGAGGTGCTGTGTCCAGGGGCCTGTGAATCTGGAGTTGCAGTGAGTGGAGCTGGAGAGTGGGAGCCTGGGACTCCCCAGGGTGTGGGGATCCAAAGGCCACCCCCAATCCGTGGCCCTGCCTCCCTCCCAGCACGGAGGAGAGGCCAGTGAGGCCACGGAAGGGAGAAGGCGGCTTTAAGCCAAGTGCAGAAAGAGCTTGTAGGAGGAGATCACGGTGTGTTTGGATGCCGAGGGGAGTGAGGAGATCACGATGTATTTGGATGATGAGGGGAGTGAGGAGATCATGGTGTGTTTGGATGCCAAGGGGAGTGAGGAGATCGCGGTGTGTTTGGATGCCGAGGGGAGTGAGGAGATCGCAGTGTGTTTGGATGCCGAGGGGAGTGAGGAGATCGCGGTGTGTTTGGATGCCGAGGGGAGTGAGGAGATCGCGGTGTGTTTGGATGATGAGGGGAGTGAGGAGATCACCAGTCTGTTTGGATGCTGAGGGGAGTGAGGAGATCGCGGTGTGTTTGGATGATGAGGGGAGTGAGGAGATCGCGGTGTGTTTGGATGATGAGGGGAGTGAGGAGATCGCAGTGTGTTTGGATGCCAAGGGGAGTGAGGAGATTGCGGTGTGTTTGGATGATGAGGGGAGTGAGGAGATCACGGTGTGTTTGGATGATGAGGGGAGTGAGGAGATCGCCAGTCTGTTTGGGTGCTGAGGGGAGTGAGGAGATCGAGGTGTGTTTGGATGATGAGGGGAGTGAGGAGATCGCGGTGTGTTTGGATGCCGAGGGGAGTGAGAAGATCCCGGTGTGTTTGGATGATGAGGGGAGTGAGGAGATCGCGGTGTGTTTGGATGCTGAGGGGAGTGAGGAGATCGTGGTGTGTTTGGGTGCTGAGGGGAGTGAGGAGATCGCGGTGTGTTTGGATGCTGAGGGCTGTGAGGAGATCGCCAGTCTGTTTGGGTGCTGAGGGGAGTGAGGAGATCGCAGTGTGTTTGGATGATGAGGGGAGTGAGGAGATCGTGGTGTGTTTGGATGCCGAGGGGAGTGAGAAGATCCCGGTGTGTTTGGATGCTGAGGGGAGTGAGGAGATCGTGGTGTGTTTGGGTGCTGAAGTCGGTGACGAGATCTGAGATTGTGTCCTATGGCCAGCATCCCTGTGAGAGAGCAATGCTCGTCCAGGTCCTATCACCGTTGAGCAGAGAGAGTGCCCCACATTTCCCGTGTTTGGCTCCTGTGTGGGATGCTGGCTCTGGCAAGGGGTCTGGGCATGTCTTGTCTGAGTGTTTCTATTCCAGCCTTGTGGGAAGGCCAGGCATCATGGAGGGAAGGAGGGCTGGAAGGGGTGAAAAGTCATCTCAGGAATTTGAGGAAAGAAAGCAGGAGGGGTTATATTCAGTCTCCTCTTCAGTGGGAAACACAGTTTCATACACACAGAGTTTCTCTTAGGAGAATTTGAATAAATCTGACAAGATCTTGTGGTGAATTACTCTCTGAATTATTTCTAGAAAAGCAGAGCAAAATGATTTACCAGGCGACGTCAGTGTCATTCTGAGGAAGGCCTATAGACACTTAAGTCATTACAACCACCAGCGCTTTCCTTCCATCAGAGAAGAAAAGTAAGTGTTTGTCTTTTTGCAATATCACTTCTTCATAATCATTGTACAAAATTTAGCGGGCTCTGAAAAATGTGAAAAGGTATAAAACAAGCAACTAGAACCACCTTTGCAAAAGCCAGCCATCGTGGAGGTTTTAGTAAGTTCCTCTCTGGTCTTTTGTGGCCTGAGATTTGTACTGTTTTGCGAACACTTTCACACCCTACTTTTTAACATGAATTTAGTTTGTAGGCATATGGATGGTTCGGTCACCGCGGCACCTCTCACTGTTCTGGTGGTTGCATGGCGTTTTGTGGGTGGGAGAACAGGTTTCTCTGGAGCCTTTTTCAGGCTGGTTTGTTTGGCTTCTGTGCTTTCTCGAATCCTCCAGGCACTGGAGAGTTTGGGATAAGTCCTGGGCTGGTATCCTGGAAGCAGGAAGCTGAGCCTGAGATTTTCGGAAGCACATGGAAAGCGCTGGCCGGTTTTGCCTTCGTGGGTGCGGGTGGGTCGGGGGGTTGGTCCCCTGCCCCCCGGAGCGACTTTGCACCTCCTTGATAGCTCTGTATGTTTTTAAGAGAATGGGAAACAAGTAAAGCTTATTGATACGGGAGCTGAAATTGTCTGTTCGGTTTTCTGGTGGCCACACGGGACACTAACAGAGAAGGTGTATTAGTTATCTGCAGCCGCATAACAAGTACCCACAAACTTAGCAGCTTGAAACAACACAGGTCCATGAACTCGCCATGCCTGCAGGACGGGAACCCGGGCACAGGTCCATGACCTCACCATCTCTGTGGGACGGGAACCCGGGCACAGGTCCATGACCTCGCTGTGCCTATGGGATGGGAACCCAGGTGCTGGTCCGTGACCTCACGTGTCTGAGGGAAGCATCTGCACCCCACCCCAAAGCAGCCTCCTGCCCACAGCTACCCAGGGATGCAGGGAGGATGGTCACACCACACTGAGGGCCGAGTTGGGTCACTGCCTGCAGCCGCCAATGTATTCCCGGGAAGACTGTGATCACTCCCCGGGAGACGGCAGAAGACATGTAGACCTGCTTCCCGGGACATTTGGCAATGTCTGGAGACACTGTGGGCGGCTGCAGGGACACCAGTGGACAGGCTCCTCCTGGAAGAGAGGCATCCCGGAGGGAAACCCGGGCCTAATCTCCACCCCAGGAGCATGATCCTGATCCCTGCAGCTCAGCAGGAAGCCTTAGAGGGGAGAGCTGAGTGCACCCTCTGTTCTTTCTTGAAGTTGTCTGGAGCACTGTGGGTCTTTACAGGTGGATACAAAGTTTAGCCTCAGCCTATGGATTTCTACGCAGACCCTGATTGGTGACTGCAGGTGCGGTTGGCGGTGCCCCTACGGGCTTGTCGCATGGTAGGAAGGCCCAGGCTCTGTGTAGGGAGGACGAAACCCCAGGATCTGTGTGTGGAGGAAGAAGGCTCAGGTTCTGTGTGGGGACTGTGGAGAAGGCCCAGGCTCTGTGTGGGGAGTGTGGGGAAGGCCCAGGCTATGTGTGGGGAGTGTGGGGAAGGCCCAGGCTGTGTGTGGGGAGGAGGAAGGCCCAGGCTCTGTGTGGGGAGGAGGAAGGCCCAGGCCCTGTGTGGGAGTGTGGGGAAGGCCCAGGCCCTGTACTGGGAGCAGAAAGGCCCAGGCTGTGTGTGGGGAGTGTGGAGAGGCCCAGGCTCTGTATGGAGAAGAGGGAGGCCCAGGCGCTGTGTCGGGAGTATGGGGAAGGCCCAGGCCCTGTGTTGGGAGCAGAAAGGCCCAGGCTCTTTATGGGGACTGCAGGGAGGCCCAGGCTCTGTGTGAGGAATGTGGGAAAGGCCCAGGCTCTGTGTGAGGAATGTGGGAAAGGCCCAGGCTCTGTGTGAGGAATGTGAGAAAGGCCCAGGCTCTGTGTGGGGAATGTGGGGAGATTCAGGCTCTGTGTGGGGAGTGTGGGGAGATTCAGGCTCTGTGTGGGGAATGTGGGGAGATTCAGGCTCTGTGTGGGGAGTGTGGGGAGATTCAGGCTCTGTGTGGGGAATGTGGGAAAGGCCCAGGTTCTGTGTGGGGAGGGGAAGGTTCAGGCTCTGTGTGGTGAGGAACCTGCCTCTTCCCTGCATGGCCTCTGGCCTCGCTCAGCTGCAGATGTGGGTCTGAGCTGCTGTGCAAGACCATGGCTTTGAGTGTGCATGTCATCCTCCCTGTGCTTCCCCTGGGTTCTGCACATGACCTGAAGGTCTGGGGAGTGAGGAGCAGGGCGTCCAGTAGGGACCTGGCCCTGGGCGGCCTCCACAACTGTGCTGGCCCCAGGACACTCCTGGGCTCTGATGCTGTAGCTTAAAGCCCTGCTGGGACCTCCCTGCAGGGCTTCTGTTCTACTATTTAATTTAACTTTATTTATTTCTTATCCTACCTTTCTTTCCTGCCTCTGCTTGAATGGGGAACCTGGATTCTCCTGTGCAGCCATATTTGCTGCCCCCCCATATTGAGCCGGTGCTGGCTGGTTTGTTTGTTTGCAGAATGCTTTTGCTTTTTGAACTGGCACGTTTTTCCTTGACCTTGAAATGCATGGAGATCTCCTCTGACTGCCTCTCAGACCTCAAGAAGATGGAAAGCAAAGTAAGTGGCTTTATGACACTGTTGCCTGGGGTTGGGAGGCTGCTCACCGTGCATTTGGACAAAAGGCAAAGAAGGGAAAAGCAGTTCACAAGGCCGTGGCCCCCAGGGCTTCGGTCAGTGGTTGGCACGTTGCCGTCTTTCCTACCTGTGTTTTGCACAACTGCGGTTGATGGTGTTTGCAATTTTACACCTGCCCATTTCTCTTTACCTTTATTGTGGCCACGGGTCCACAGCACCACAGTTGTTTCTAGAGTCCACTTTACAGATGGTGTAAAATGTCATGATGCTAATGATCCGGAACATTCTCCAGCAGTCTCATTATTGGACGCATAAGTCACACCGGCCATGCCTCATTACCCACAGTTCACTTTCTGCAGTTTGCTACCTGCAGGCACCTACAGTATGAAAGTATTAAGGTTTTTTGAGGGAGAGGCCACAGCCACATCACTTTTATTACAGCATAGTGTTATGGTTGTATTTTATTATTAGTTATTGTTATAAATATCGCACTGTGCCTAATTTAGAAATTGAAGTTTATCATAGGGATTTCTGTCTAGAAAAATCACAGTGTACATCGGGTTTGGGACTGCTCCACGTTTCAGGCCTCCACTGGGTTGGGGGGTCTTGAAACATATCCTCTCAGAGAAGGGGGGGCTACTGTATCATTTTTTGCTAATTACATAAAGGGCTGCAGTGAACATTTTGTGCCTAAAACATTTTTCTGCATTTAGGATTTTTCCCTAAGATGAGTGTATTTACATGAAATGACTAGGGAATGCTCACTTTTAATATTTTAAGAATACACGTTAGAGAACCGCCCTCCAGAAAAAGCTTCACACAGCCAAAGGTGTGTAAGACTGAAGACGTCAGGCTTGCTGATGCTTTCGGGAACTGCCACAGGCCCTGCCACAGAGCAGGGACAATGGGATCAGTTTATCGGGTGGTTTTGAGCAAACTGAGTGTCGCTTTACACACGGAGAGTGAAGGGGGGACCCTCGGGTGCACAGCCGCGTGCTGGGGCTCCCCTCGTGGTGTCTTCCTTGAGCACCTGCAGTGTGCTTTGCCCCAGGTTACCCACGAGTAATCGTAAACCGAGCTGTCAGTGGTGCAGGAGACACGGCCGTGGCTCAGCACGGGGGGGAGCCGGCCAGTCACACTGAGGGCTGTGCTGATCTGGAAATGGTTTCAGAACAGGAGATGCAGTTCACGTGGCCTTGAGAGACAGGCGGGAAGCGTGGTCAAGGCTGGAAACGGCAGCCCGCGCAGTACGGAGGATGAGGGCAGCGTGGGAGGCGCTCCTGTGTTTGATGCCCTTTACTGGCTTCTGTGAGCCCCATTTCCATCTTCTCGGTTTCAATGGTGTGGTGTCCCCAGTTCAGAATGACTGTGGAACGCCTGGGTCCGGCCCCACTTCCTCCTCCCCAGCAGCCCTTCCTTCAGCTCCCTGCGCCTCAGGGTTTGTCGCTGCAAAATGGCAGCAGTAACAGGACTCATCTCCGAGGGCTGCTGTGGAACTCAAAGCAATGTTTTGTATATCCCAGGTTGAGGCTACCGGGCAGGCCCCTGCTGCCGTGGGGTTGCCGTTAAGGAGGCTCCTGTAGCCCAACTCTGCCACCACCGCCCGTGGCCCCTGCAGAGCATGTCCCTCTGCCCTGGCTTGAAGACGCTCTCCTGGCCCTTTGCCCGGTTGGCCTCTGCCCATCCCTCAGGCCCCAGCCCTCCTGTTACCTCTTGTCTCACTGCTGGTCGAAAGCGACCTTCTCTAGGTGAACATTCTGCTGGGAGGCTCGTTATCCCTGCCAGCCTCCTAGTAGACATTCAGGATCTCATGATATTTAGTTTGAATTAAAAGCTCACTAATGTTAAGGATATAAATGGTTTTAAATTTTGAAGCCTTGGTGCATTTTTAAAGACTATCCACTGTCATACATTTCACGATTGCCTGAGTGAATGGTGGAAATGATTTAACCAGGCAGACGCCCGCACCTGTGGGACCCCATAAAGAGTTTTAAGATCCATGTCCATGTGGGAAGCATGGAGCTCTTTTTCTGACCCCTGTGAAGCCTGGCATAGCTTCCTCAGTGGCATGGAGGCTTGCGGCTGCTGGACAGGCGGGGGCACACAGCCTGGGGCGGCGGCCTCCTGCGCTCTCCATCCTGGCCGGCACCAAGGCCCAGATGTGGAGGACTGCGGTGCAGCCATCCTGAGGTGCTGCAGGTACTTCCCATCCTTGCGGACGTCTGCTGCCGAGGACCCGCTCCCCGGGGCGGAGGAGTCTGCTGCTGAGGACCTGCTTCTTGGGACGTCTGTATCTGTTGTTTGTGAAGATGCTACACCATCAGCACCTGTGCTCACAGACTAGGAGCTTGAGTCTCCTGTGTCCAGAAGACCTGCACCCCTCGAGCCAGGGCGGGTTTAGGGTTTAGGAGTGTCACCCCTCAAGCCAGGGTGGGTTTAGGGGTGTGGTCTTTGGATGACAGCGACATGTTGCTCCCAGCTTTTGTAAGGCCACCGAGGCCTGGGGACGTCTTCCCCAGCTCAGCAAGCCCCGGAGAAAGGGGAGGTAGAGTGCCCTTCTTCCCAGCGTGACGCACAACACATCGCTTCCCAGACTTCGGCGCAGCCCCGGGCCCCCAAGCCGCCTGGCTGAGGCCTGGGTACCAGGTGTTGGGGGCCGGGACAAGGCCCCTGAAAAGGGCAAAGTCAGGACCCTCCCCTGCCGCTCTCAGGCGGTAGGGCCTGCAGGCAGGCGAGGAGTTGGTGTAGCTGAAAACACGGCTTCCTCACTTAAACCACTGCGTCGTAGGTGTCTGTGTGTCATCGTATGACTTGTATTTGTTAAACCTCTACCCAGTCATATTTTAAATGCCTCTGAAGTTCATGAATGTGCACAGCTGCTTCCCTTACAGATCTCCATCTTTTCAAAAACTGTGTATATCTGCAGGATCCTGGGAAGCTGATTGAAATGGAATGTCTGGAGTGTGAATCAGAAGCTTTAAGACTTGAAAATCAGATGAAAATGTACATCCGAGCGGCTGTTGAGGTCAGGAGTCGTACACCTGGCATTATTTTGCAGATTCCGGGAACTTGGTGCAAGTTGAGTGTGTCCCAGGCTTGAGGGTGCCGGGGACACGGCCTGGACCCCACTGCTGGACTCACCCTGGCTCCCGTGACAGCGGGTGTGAGTCCAGCCTCCAGTGCCACACTTCCTCTCCCACGCACAGGGGCCACAGACCTCCTTGGTGGGTTGGGGTCGTACAGGTGGGGGCTGGGATGTGACTCCCTCTGACCCTCCTCCTGCAGCCCCTGCAGAGCTGCCCCCTCCCCGCCATGTGGTGATGCCTGCCCGGGAGGACAGGGGGACGGCCATGCGTCTCCACGAGGGCTTTCTGCCAGCCTCACTTGAGTCCGGGAAGGCGTCCTAATGACGAGGGGCAGAAGCCACCGCCGGCCCTGGGGTCAGCTGCCAATTATAGGCACGTGAGCCTGACCCACCTCCGTCCTGCTGTCTAAGACGGCAGGCTCCGGAATAGCAGCCACTGCCACGAAAGGATTTAGAAATCATTTTAGACTCTTCCTCAGTAAGAATTTCCCGGTTAAAAGATGAACAAAAACCTGACAGAATGGAGGTACGCAGCCCTGACATGGTGCCACGGCAAGTGTGGCGGGTCGGCCCGGGAGCCCTTGAGTCCTGTCAGCCAGGCAGTACAAGGCCCCACTGGGCACAGAGGAGCCAGGGGCACGTGGGTCAGTGCCGGAGGTGCCGGGGCGGGGGATGAGCAGGGCAGCTGGGAGGCCTTCCCCGCCCCTACTCCTAAGGCACCCACCCTCAGCCCGCACCGCCTGGCGCATGTGTCACGGCCCGGCAGGCGCCAACGCCTCTGTGGACTTGCTCCTGGGTCTGCCTCCACGGGGCTGAGCGTCTCGTGGGAGGTTTTTGACTGTTGCTGTGCACTGGTGCCAGGCATGTGGTAGGCGCTTAATGAGAGAGTTCATTTAAGGAATGATTTCCAGACACTTTGGCTGCTGCACTTTGTCGTGAAAGTGAACAGAGGCTGCTTGTGGCTGTGGCACTGTGGGGTGTACGGCTGCTTCCCCCGCCTCACCTGCTGAGGATCTCAGTGGGGCTGGCACCGGCGTACGAGGCTTTCAGACCCAGCAGCCAAGTGGCAGGATGGGGTTGTGAGGTGCAGGCTCCACCCAGCCCAGGGGCAGCATGAGGGCAAGGCCCCTGTGGAAGCCACAGGCTGTGGGGACATGGCCAAGTGAGCCCAGGGCAGTGGGCAGCCCAGAAGGGCTTGTGGGAGGTGGGAGTGTGGGGAGACTGGCTCCACTGAAATCCTGGCCTAAGCCTTTGTCCTGGAAAGGGCCCGTGTAGCACAGACCGGAGGAGACATTCTGGGGGTGGGAAGCGTCATGGGCACAGGCCCCTGGAAAGAGATAGGATCAGGAAGGGAGCAGCCGCCACTGAGTCCACACACGGGAGGCGGGCGCAGCCACGATATGTGCGTACTGCCAAGCCTCCTGCATGTACTATCTTGTGAGACATCCACTTCCTCCTAGAGTCACTCTGGCCATTTTCACGGACAGATTTGAGCATGGCACCACGCAGGGTGATGAATTTAGGGCCTGAGTTCTCAGCGTGCCCTGCACATGTCCCACCCCAGCCCTGCAGCTCAAGCCAGCAACCTCCATAGAATCGCCCACGTCTTCTCCGCAGGCCCAGCTGGATATCATACAGAGACTAAACGTCGCGCTGCAGCGAGCCGTCCGCCTGGGCGACCCCCGGGTCATCCACGTGGTGTGCACCACGCAGTGGAACACCTGCCTGCCCCTGCTGCAGCACAACCTGCGGCACCACCTGAGGAAGCCCCTGGCCGGCGTCGCGGACGTGCTGGAGAAGGTGGACAGGTGGGGCGCGCACCTGCGCCGTGTCCTCCACAGAGCGGGTGGTGCATGAGGAGACAGAGGAGGAGAAGGTGGCCCAAGCCCCCTTGCCATGCCAGTGCCACAAGCAGCAGACTCCCCCCGTACTCAGTAAGGGCCACCCTCTGTCTCTGCTCAGGGCCAGGCATGCCGGGTCCTCTGTGTGGAGCACTGGTGGGGCCAGAGGAAGAAGCAGGCTCAGCTGTGCCTCACGGGCATCTGTGCTCCTCAAGCCTCCATTGAAGGGGACTGTCATGGCCACAGAAGCTGAGACTGGGGGGCTGGTTGTGGCCCCATGGGACTTGGGTCATCTTGGGTGAGACAGGAGTGCTCAGAGGGCCCAGCGTCCCGGAAGAGCACGGTGTGTCCTCGGGGTGACAGGAATGCTGGGGCCAGCGTGGTAGCAGGCGGCAGGCATCAGGGTGGGCCATGGCGGGCAGGCGGCAGGCGTCAGGGTGGGCCATGGCGGGCAGGCAGCAGGCGTCAGGGTGGGTCGTGTTGGGCAGGAGACAGGTACTGGGGGCAAGGGCAGCCACAAGATGTTGCAGAGCCTGGACCCAGGGTGGCTGGAGAACCACAGCCCTGGTCTCAGGACCTGTTTCTTGTTGGGAGGGCTCAGCCTCTTCATTGCTGTCAGTATGGTTTTGACTCTGAGACCGCCAGCTCAGCCCCAGCTCCCTGTCTGCTACCTCCCTGCACTGCCACAGCTCCCTCCCACCTTCCCTGGGGCTCCCTGAATTTTTCTAGAATTCTATTTCATTTCCTCTGTTGGCTTCTTGGTTTCTCGACTATACCTTTTGGAGGAATGGGGGATTTCTCTAGGGCTAAGAACATGCACCCCTTAGCACAGTCTGTGTCAGGCCAGCATCACTCCGGCTCAGTTCACACAGATACACACCCTGAAACATGGTGACCACACCCCTCACACCCCCCTGGGCCATCCTTCAACTTCCCACAGCTAAGAATGAACCCAGACCCCGGCTCAGCTGCCCCAGAACCGCTTCTCAGGCCTGGCACACGTGCACTCCTGTGCACACGCAGCCTGCTCGAGGCCAGGGGTTCCAGGCACCCCCACAGGCTGCTCGAGGCCAGGGGTTCCAGGCACCCCCACAGGCTGCTCAAGCCCAGGGGGTCTGGGGCACCCCCACACAGCTACTTGAGGCCAGGGGGTCCAGGGCACCTCCACACGGGCTGGTTGGGCTGCTCTGTGCAGCCCTTCCTCTCCAGACCCTAGCCTCCCTCGCAGCCCTGCACCCTGACCTCTGCCACCGTGGCCTGTGGGAACTGCGCCCCACGCTTCAGGAAGTTGTGCCCAGCAGAGAGCCGGGCAGTCTTGCACTAGCGCCCAGGTTTCCTTCCGGGGCAGTTGTTGTGAGTTGCCGAGGCCTCCGGGGTCTGCATGGTCTTCTCTCCTTGTCCCCATTTGTGAGTCCCCAGGGCCAGGCAGGGGCATCACTGAAAGGATGACGGGAAGCCAGGGGCACTGGGCACCAAGCCTCCCCTACATGCTGGGGCCACTCCAGGCCTCCCCTGGAGGATGTGACCCCAGCCCGACACAGCCTCAGCCCCGCCAGGGCCCCTGATGCCGCGCCACCCCCACAGCCTCATGACGCTGCTCCGCTGCCAAGTGCACATGGAGATGGCGCAGATCGAGGAGGACGAGGACCGGCTGGAGCCCGCCATGGAGCACCTCCGGAAAGCCGCGCGCCTGGACAGCCTGGGCCTCTACCAGGACAGGCTCCAGATGGCCTCTACCCGGCTGCGCCTGTGCACCACACTATACCAGGCCCCCGAGCGTGCAGAGGACAAGGCCATCATGGCCATCGAGCAGGTGCTGCCCGGGGAGGTGAGGGAGGCCGGGTGCTGTAACCCCAGCATGGGGCCGGGGCTGGGCTTTGAAGGCACGGCAGGGCGGGAGCTGCCCAGGGCCGCCTGAGGCGAGGAGGCCTGGGGCCGAGCTGTCACTGTGTATGAGCATGAGGACCACACAGGCCCTGCCACAGCCAGGAGGCTCCAGAAGTTGGAGAAGGTGCTGCGGAAAGTCCAGCGGCCCCTTCCTCATCAGTCTCTGCTTTTCACAGGCAAAAAAAGCTACCCCAAAGGACAGCGTCAGGAAGAAGCGGGCCCTCCTGGTGAACGCAGGCCTGGCCTTAGCCCCCGACACGTTTCAGATCGTGCTGGACAGTGAGAATGAGGCCAAAGGTGAGCACCGCACTGGGCTCTCCCAGCCCGGAACCATCCGCCTTGGAATGGCTCCGAGGCTGCCCTGGGGTTTCCCCAGTCCCCATGCTCCCCACCACGGCCCCTGGATGTGCAAGGACTGTGCACCAGCAGTGTCCTCCGATCTCGGCCTGCCGGGTCTGGCAAAGCCCAGCAAAGGTCTTCTGTGCACACGCCAGCCATGTCGGGTGCCCCGGCTGCTAGGACAGACCCCACGGGCTCCGCTGCTTAGACAACAGGAACTCACTCCTCCCAGTCCCAGGCTGGAAGTCAAGGCGTGGGCAGGGCTGGTTCCCCCTGAGGGCTCCTTGGCTTGTGGACGCTGTCTCCTCCCTGCGTCCTCAGGGCCGTTCCTTCTGGGGGTCTGTGTCCTCGTTTCCTCCCTTACCAAGATACCAGTCAGGCCCGGGCGCAGTGGCCAAGCCTGTAATCCCCAGCACTTATTGGGAGGCCCGAACGGCAGATTACGAGCGTCAGAGATCGCAGACCATCCTGGCAAACCACAGTGAACCTTCGTCTCTAACTAAAAAAAAAAAAAATACAAAAATTAAGTCGGAGCGCGGTGGCGGCCCCCTGTAGTCCCAGCTACTCGGGAGGGCTGAGCCAGAAAGAATGGCGTAGAACGCCGGAGAGGTGGAGCCTTGCCAGTGAGCTGAGATCTGGCCCACAGCCCTGGGCGCAGAGCGAGATTCTGTCTCAAAAAAAAAAAAAAAAGCAGATAGCCAGTCGACTGGACTCTAGAGTCACCTGGCGACCTCATTTTGCCAGATTCCCCAAAAGGTCAAATACTCACGGTCCTGGGGCGAGGACTTCAACACACCCTGCTCTGGGGAGTGTTGAGCCAGAGGCACAGGACAGGGCTCCTGGATCCACGGGGGTCAAAGCTGAAGCCATCACGTCTGTCCTGGGCAGACCCTGAACTGGCTTTCGGTAGTGGGACATGGGGCCATGCGGCCCACGTGCAGGGACTGAGCCAGGTTCGGGGGTGACTGCACCTCCACCCCCAGCTTCTTCTGGGCACCGCCAGTGGCTCTGGGAACGCAGGCGGTCCCACTTCTTCAGCCAGTGCAGGGGGCCAGGCTGGGCCTGGCTTAGGAGCCCCTTCCCACTGTCCCTTAAGGTTCTGCTGGGGCCTGCCGCCAGGCCCCCTCAGCTCCAGTGCCCAGCAGCTGGCGGCTTTCGCCCAGCACGATGAAGCAGGCGTCACCCAGACTGCAGCCTGCGGGACGGTGGTTGGGAATGGAGACGCTGGGTCATGTCTCGGGTCTGAGACAAGGAGATGGGCAGATGCAGGGTGGGTCGTGTCCTGCAAGGGAAGGTTGGTCGCTCTCGGAGAGGGGAGGGGTCACCGCCTCGTCGTCCACCGCCCTCAGATGCTGCCGCACCTGTGCTTTCACTTTGCCCTAATAAGTTTGAGGAGCAGCTGCAGATCCACCAGTAGGACCCAGACGCACCTATTTTGCCTTCCTGACTCCTTTCATGCATGGGCGTGTGCTGCTGGCCGCCTGGGGGTCAGGTGCATGTCCACCTGCTGGCTGTGGGGCTGAGACAGCACCGTACACCCAGGACCCTACACCCAGCAGGAGGACAGCACCCTACACCCAGCAGGAGGTGCTGCGGGGCCCTGCCCAGGGGCAGTGAGGGTGGTGCGGGCTCCAGGGGAGGATACCCTTGAGTGGCTCCTGAAGGTGAACCCCTGTGCCGGCCGAGAGGGTAGACACCAGCCAGGGGAGGCCCAGTCCCCGGGGTCGCCCATGCACAGGAGGCCCCCCAGGGTGTGGCGCTGAGTTCCGGGTGCTTGTGATTTATTTGCCAGGAAAAGGAGTGGTGATTCGGAAGCTCTGGCATCATGCAGATAAAACTGCTGGGCCTTGGGGTGCTACACAGGGACTGGGTGGGAGCGCGGGAGTCTGAGGCCGGGTGCCCTGGACGTCAGCTAGGCAGCGTAGCCAGCAGAGCAGCGGGAGGATCTTGGCAGACTGCTCTGAGGTTCCTGGAGCCTCCCCCACTCAGAGGAGCACTGGCTCGGCCTCGTCGCCGGCAGGAGACACAGGCAATGCCACTCTGCAGCTCTGCTCCTGGGAGCCGGGGATCTAGGGCCCCTGCAGCCACCACCTGTGGGTGGCCACCCCGGTGCCGGCGCGGGGCGCTGGTTCCTGATGGGCGCGTCCCCGGCCCTTCGCCAGCAGCCCCAACGCCTGCCTGTGCATTTCTGTCCCAGTCTCCACCGGGAAGAGCAGGGGCCGGTTCACCTACCTTTGTGCAAAGGCACGGCACCACATCGTCAGCGTGGACAAAGCTGCCGGGCACCTGCGGCGCCTGGGCAACGAAAACAGCAAGGAGAGGTGAGCGAGGAAGAGGCCAGAGCGCCACACAGAGCCCTGCCTGGGGGTCGCTCAGCCCAAGAGCCAGCGTCTGTGGCAGCCGAGCTGACCCTGCGTGTGGCTGTCTGGGGACACACCAGGTCACCTGCTCCAGGATGGTGGGAGGAGGTCCCAGCCTGGGGGTCCCGACATAGATGGGACCCCCCAGCCTGTGATGACAGCCACGGCCTGTGAGGTGTGCGGCCGCCCTGTCCCGCCTGTCACTGCTGTCACTCAGAGGACACGCAGCGCCTGTGACCAGAGCAGGCTGATTTTTGGTACCAACCTTGTGGTACCACCCCCAGGAGGCCTGCCCCGTGCAGTGGATTGCACGGCCTTTCTTCTCACCACAGGGAAGGGAGGTGCCGCTCACAGCTGACTGGCAGGGGGAAGCAGAGAGCTGCACCCGACCCCGGGACATGCGCCCGCCAGGCCGTCCCCAGTGTGCGCACCGGGCTCCTGGCCACCTCGAAACCGCAGAGCCACAGTGGCCTTTTCTCAGGCAGGCAGCCCAGGTGTTTTCTAACTTTAGCAGCCACATTTGTCTACTCACTTTTCCCTCGTTTGGGTTCTCGGTGAGCAGGATACAGATTTGGGCAGAGCTGGCCAAAGTGGCCCGGAAACAAGGCGTGTGGGACGTCTGTCGGACGGCGAGCCGCTTCTGCCTCCTGTATGACAACGTCAAGGTGAAGAAGTCGAGGCTGCGGAGAGGTTTGTACCCGCCCTCACGAGTGCGTCCCAGCCTGGCCACAGCCGCCCTCTGGGTGCGGGAAGGGTTGTGGTTCATGCAGTGACAGCCCATGGGGCCTTCACATGAGAAAGGGTATAGCTAAGTCACAGTAGTAGTAGTTCCCACTAATTATCAGGACTGCCAATCACGGGGCGGCAGCCACATCTGGCTGTGTCGGCCGAGCCACAAGCACCATCATCATGCTCCGTCTTCAGTCACTGGGGGCCTCGGAGGCTCAGGCAGGGGCAGCCACAGCCAGCAAGCAGATGCCCATGCGGGGCACCTGCAGGCAGAGGGCAGTGGCCACAGGCCCAGCGGGAGCAGGACGTGGGTGGGGCAGCCTCATCAGTCAGCACTAGGCCCTGGAGAGGCTCCTGTCTCAGGGACAGTCAGGACCCAGAGGGACGAGGGAAGTGACAGAACGGGCACAGGGGGCCTGGGAGTCCTGCAGGAGTTGGGGGGGAACCCTTCCAGAAGGTGGGGCATGCAGGAGGAGCTGGGAGAGCCACAGGTGCCAAGAGCATTTGCAGGAATGTGGCCAAGAGCAAGCCCTGGCTGGGGGCCAGCACTACACCCAGCTTCGCCACCCCACGGAGAGCTCCAGCCCCTTCCTGGGCAAGCTGCCCACCTCCCGCTCACCTGCCTACCTTGGTGGACCCTACTGGGAGCTGGGGAGAGGCTCAGGCACTCCAAGATGGGCCAGGAATTCTTGTGTTTTTATATATTTGCTGGAAAAAAACATGATCCTTACCTGCTGCCATTTTTCTCTCAGGGAGGAAGAGGCGAGGTAGGGACGGCTCGGTGCAGGACACCTGGAGCCACCCTGAGGTCGTCCTGCAGAGGCAGGTGTGCCCCGACCTGCTGCGGAAGTTTGCGGAGGTGGGGTTCATCAGTGCTGAGGTGCGTCGCTGAGGTGGGGTTCATCAGGGCTGAGGTGCGTCGCTGAGGTGGGGTTCATCGGGGCTGAGGTGCGTCACTGAGGTGGGGTTCATCGGGGCTGAGGTGCGTCACTGAGGTGGGGTTTGTCGGGGCTGAGGTGCGTCCCAGAGGTGGGGTTCGTCGGGGCTGAGGTGCGTCCTGGAAGTGGGGTTCGTCGGGGCTGAGGTGCATTGCAGAGGTGGGGTTCGTCGGGGCTGAGGTGCATTGCAGAGGTGGGGTTCGTCGGGGCTGAGGTGCATTGCAGAGGTGGGGTCGTCGGGGCTGAGGTGCGTCGCGGAGGTGGGGTTCGTCGGGGCTGAGGTGCGTCGCGGAGGTGGGGTTCGTCGGGGCTGAGGTGCGTCGCGGAGGTGGGGTTCGTCGGGACTGAGGTGCGTCGCGGAGGTGGGGTTCGTCGGGGCTGAGGTGCGTCGCGGAGGTGGGGTTCGTCGGGGCTGAGGTGCGTCGCGGAGGTGGGGTTCATCGGGACTGAGGTGCGTCGCGGAGGTGGGGTTCGTCGGGACTGAGGTGCGTCGCAGAGGTGGGATTCGTTGGGACTGAGGTGCGTCGCGGAGGTGGGGTTCGTCGGGACTGAGGTGCGTCGCGGAGGTGGGGTTCGTCGGGGCTGAGGTGTGTCGCGGAGGTGGGGTTCGTCGGGACTGAGGTGCGTCGCGGAGGTGGGGTTGTCGGGGCTGAGGTGCGTCCCTGCACCACAGCGTTGGAGGGTTGCTTTCCCGCATCCGCACAACCTCTGCAGAGCAGGCGTTGGTGTCCACATGGCCTGTTAACCCACTGCAGATATTTATCGTCATAGAACCTTCTGTGCTTCAAATAAAACAAATATGAGGGAGGGAAAACTTCCTGGATTCTTGGGAGATTTTCTAGGAGAAAAATATAACCCAAAATGTGCATGGGTGTAAGTTTCTCTTGGGAATCATTTCCGAGTGGTGAATCTGCAGTTGTGTGGATGACACATGGCGACCGCCGCTCCACGGGGGGATGGTACCTCGGCATTTGCTGCAGAAGTGCATTGAATGTGGCGTGATGTCCGGGGCCCCTGCCATGGGGCCACCAGGCCTGTTCCTCCCACGCAGGCTCAGAGACGCCCGGGCTCGCCCTGCCCAAAGTCAGCAGGTGGAAATGGCAGAGCGGGATCCAAACCCGGCCCTGGGACCTCGGTCTGAGCTCACAGTCACCGCGCTGCGGCAACATGAGCGTGGCCTTTGTGACTGTGTGACTTCAGAGTTCCCAGAGCCACTCTCGGTTAGATGTCTGTGGACTGGCTCAGTGGGTGCATGGCCATCAGCCTCGGAGGGCAGGGCACCTGCAGATTTATGGAGTATGTCCGCCGAGTGGCTCCCAAGTGCTAGGCCCATGGGCTCAGCTGGGGTCAGGGTGAGAAGCGGCACAGACCCCTCTGCTCAGGGAGCCAGAGGTCAGATGGCAGAACCAGAGCCAGCAGAGGCCACGGTTCTGTGCCACGTGCTTGTGCACACTCCACAGGCCAGCGCAGCCCTTTCCCCTCAAGCATTTAAAACGTAATGATGATGTAGGGGAAATGCAAATGCTGGCCGGTGTCTGCTGATACCAGGAAGCCACTGTTGGTCCTTCGGGGCCACTGGGGTGTGCGGTGCTCTGGAAGGACCTTCTCTTCCCTGACCCTCGTGCTGATGGGTGGAGAAAGTCTGCGAGGGACGGCTTTAGTCCCTGGAGTGGCTGTCGGGGCAGGCCCGGCTTGGAAAGGGCGCAGCAGACGGGTCTCCCAGCCTGTGCTTGGCATTTTCAGATCAGAGCTGAGGGAAGGGCATGTGTGTTTCCCGTCTGGGGCTGGCCCGTGCTCCACCCACAACCCCTCCCACTGCATGTGTGTTTTGCAGGCCACGGTTCATTTGCTGCGGTCGGAAGGTGTAGAGCTGAATGACCGGGCCATCCCCCCAGAAGACCTGAGCCAGCACCCAGCCGGCTACGTGCCTGAGCCCCCGGAGGCGAATGCCGAGTGGATCACATACAGGTGGGCAGAGGCGACGGTGGCCTTGAGCACTGCCCGGGCCGTGGGTCAGAGGGTGCCCTGCACTCAGCCTGGCGTAGGGAGGGACGCCCTTCGCATTCGTAAGGACACAGGCTTCTCATGTCGGGGAAGTGTCCACTGTCACGTAAATGACATTGAGACCATGAAAGAGGAAACGGGGTGACGTGGCCTCACTTGTTTTTAGCAGTTGTTCCTAGCAAGACCCCGGGCGTCGTTTGTTGTCACTACGAGGAAAAGTTCACGAGTGTCTTTTCCACCGTGTCACTCTCGTCGGTCCCTCTGATGGTGCATGAAAGGCAGCTGTGGGGAGGTGGTCTTCGTGTGGAGAGGTGGTCTTCGTGTGGGGAGGTGGTCTTCGTGTGGGGAGGTGGTCTTCGTGGCAGGAAATAGAAGGAGCAGCTTCTGTATTTGCTCAGAGGAAAAGCTCTGCTCTCCCTCCTATTGTGGGAAAAGCCATCAAGGACTGCCTTGGCCTCGAAAACTCCTTGTGTGTCAATAAGCAAAATTAGTTTGTACAGAACATCTCACAGGATTTGCCGACATGAGGCTCCAAGTTCAGAAACAATCATGAAATTGGAGTGCTTTACCAGCAGTGATGGTTTTTACCTATTTTTAATCTAAAATTAGATATTTTTAACTTATTTTTTTAATTGACAAGTAATAATTTAATGTTTCTGGGGTGCATAGTGACGTTTTGATCCATGTAACGTGGTGATCAGATCTGGGTAATTAGTGAATCCGTCATGTTGGACGTGCATTGTTTCTCGCTGTTGGGGACGTTCAGCGTCCCCCTCCCAGCATCCCCGTAAACTATAGTTGCTTACCGTGCGTAGGACACGGGAACTTATCCCTCCGATGCAGCTGCGCCAAGCACATGAACGTGGTAACCTTGGGTGTCCCGACTATCCATGCAACAGCGTCCCTGTCCTCACCGGTCACATGGGGCAGAAGGAAAGTCAGCTGTCCCTGCTTGCTGTGCACGCCTGGAGCCACCCAGCCGAGCCCTTTGGAGGGAAGAGGTGGTCAGGCAGCAGCAATGACGATGATGGCTGCAGGTGGCCTTTGTCTTGGCCTCTCGGGATCCCGTCTCCTGTAGCAGCTCTGGGCTCTGTGAGGAGCTGCCTGGCCCAGGCCGGCCCCGGGCTCCCAGCCCTCACAGCCTCGTCATTTCAGGCAGGGGCTCCGGATGCCTTTCCAGGCATCCCAAGGCCCAAGGCTGGGCAGGGCTCTGCACTCCTGCTGGGCCTGCTCATAGACAGAGGAGGGTCTGAAAATCAGGGCTCAAGCTGTTTGTAGCCTGTGAGCTGAGAGTGGCTTTGACACTTTTAAATTTGTAAAACAAAATAGAAAAAATATAGTGAAGACTATGTGGAGCTTGCAAAGTCCAAAATGCTGTTTGCCCAGCCTGGTCTAGTGGGACGGACAGACCCTGTCCACGTCCACACTGCTGAGTGAAGGCTGACTGCCCTGCGCTCCGTGTGCCGGCTCCCTGGGGAAGGGCGTAATTCAGGTGGGGAGGAAGAGGAAGATGCTCGCTTGGGCAGGAGGGAGGGCGGCGCTTCGCAGTGTGGAGCAAGGCCAGGAGGCACGAGGCAGCTGCAGTGTGGCTGGATGCAGCCTCGGGCGGGGGGCCGGAGGTTTGCCAGTGAGCGAGGTTCCCGTGGCAGGTGTAAGCGCTCGTGGCCATGGGAACCAGCTGGGGCTGTTGGAGGTGTCCAGGGAGGATGAGGACAAACTGGAACGAGGAGGCCGCTGGGAATGGGGAGCACCAGGCTGGGCCCCAGTGCTTCAGGTGGAGCGTGCAGGCTATGGGGGGCTGGGTGGAGGGTGGGGCAGAGTGTCTCCGCCCCGTGCAGCCCCCACAGGAGCCCTGTTCTGAGCCCAGGGCTCCACAGACTTCCGGAAACAAGGGAGTCTCGTAGAAGAGTCTACACTGTCTTTAGAGAGGGCGGGTGGGAAAGACTGTTTCACACGTAGGCAGCCGTCCCCAGCTGTGTTAGCTCCGGGCACTGGTTTTGTGGGAGACAGTTTTTCCATGGACTGGCTAGGGGGAGGCTGGTCCCGGGATGAAGCTGTTTCCACCTCAGATCGTCAGGCGTTGGTTCGGTTCTCACAAGGAGCGCGCAGCCTAGATCCTCGGAAAGCGCAGCTGGCAGTGTGGTTGGCCCTCCCATGAGAGTGGAACGCGGCTGCTGATGGGACAGGAGGTGGGGCTCAGGGGGGAGTGCCAGTGGCAGGAGCGCTGTGAATGCAGATGGAGTTTGGTCGACGCCCACCCGCCCCCACCTGCTTCCCGCCTGCAGCCTGGTCCCTGACAGGCTGTCCTGGTCCTGGTCCCCGGGCTGGGCACCCTGCATGAAGGGCTTGGCCGTCCTGGTCCCGGCCCCGGGGCTGGGCACCCTGCATGAAGGGCTTGACGTGCTCATTTTGCAGAACCTGGGTGGAGAGTCTATCCCAGTATGCCATGAATAACTGGCTACGCTCCGCGGAGATCGGACAGGAGATCCAGGAGGCGTGGATCGTACAGAACGCCGTGGTCTACGTCCTGAACCACAACCACCACCTGATCCTGGCCGGGCGGCAGAAGGAGCTGGTGGACGCCCTGTACCACCTCCTGAGCATCGTCAAGGCCACGGGCCACAGTGGGTGTGTGTGGGCAGTGCTGCAGTCACGCAAGGAGGGGCTTCTTCCCTCGGGAGACCCCAGAACAAAGGCAGGCAGCTGCGCTCCGTGGCCCTCTGCGTCCCAGCAGAGGAGGGTCGTGGGCACCTGTGCATCTCAGGCCTCCTACCACGGCCTGAGTACTCTGTGCATGGGATTGGGGTGTGGCCTGCGGGGGCCAAGATTCCCTCTGACAAGCGTGTCTCCCAGGGACCCCGTGATGCTGGTGATGCTCTGCAACACCTTGGCGCGAGGCCTGATCATCAGCTGGATTCCAGTCCAGGCTGCTGAGAAGTCCAGGAAATTCATGCGACCAAACACGTTTCACAGCCCACTGGACGCAGGAGCCACCTCCGAGATCAAAACAGCGGTGGAGGTAGCACCTCCATGGTGCAGAGAGAGAGACAGGGTTGGGGGGAAAGAAAGGTGAACAGAGAGAGGAGAGGAGAGAGAAGAGAGGAGAAGTGAGAGGAGAGAGAGGAAAGGAGAGAGGAGAAAAGAGAGAGAGGAAAGAGGATAAGAGAGAGAGAGGAGAGACAGGAGAAAGGAGAGAGAGAGGAAAGGAGAGAGAAGAGACAGAGAAAAGAGAGAAAGAAGAAAAGACAGAGGAGAAAGGAGAGAGAAGAAGAGAGAGGAGAAGAGACAGAGAAAGAGGTGGGGGGTGGAGAGAGAGAGAGAGAGAGGTGTGTGTGTGAGGGGGCGGGAGTGGAGGGAGAGAGCGGGGAGGCAGCCGACCCCACCGAGACAGAGCCCTGCAGACCTGAGGCTGGAGGCTGGGGCTGAGCTTCTGAAGGCTCCTGGAAAGGCCCTGGGAGAGCAAACTGCCCTCAGTGGAGGTGACAGACGTAAGAACAATTTAGGAAGTAAAACGTCAGGGGCTCCAGTTGCTAGGAAGTAAAGCCAGGGCTGGAGAGAAGAAAGCAAGACCTGTGGGTGGGTGTGGGCCTCCCCTCGGGGCGGGCTCCAGGCTGAGGGGAGTGGAAATAGAACCAGAAATGGCGGATTGGAACAGCGGGAAACAGGGACCGTGTCACCCACAAATGCAGCCGTCCCAGTAAAACGCAGCAGACCCAGTGTGTGGGACGATCCTGGTGGCCCAGGCGGATCATTTATCCCACGGAATTTGGATTTTGTTGTAATCCAAAAGGAAGGGAAAAGGGAGTGTTCACACTGACGGATGTTGCCGAAGTGTGTGTCAAGCCACTGCCCGTTTCTAACTCAGAACAGCCTCAGAGAACCCGGGAGAAAGCCGGTTTCCTAAAGGGTCAGGGGAGTCGGAACCTCCTGGAGCCTGTGTGTGGAGCGCCCGCAGTGGGGCCGGGGCAGGGAGGCCTTGAGTGTCCCCGCAGGGGCACAGGGAGGGAGCTGTCCCCACCCTTGAAGGAAGACTTTGTGCTAAAGCTCATCCCGCATGACCCTTTCTGGGCCATGGATAAAACCGTGGGCTGGAGAGTCTCGAGCCTGCAGCACGGCACTCACGGCGCTCACGGTCAGCACTGACGGTCAGCTGTGCTAGGCCACAGCCAGAGAGGGCCCTGGTGCTACCAGCTCCCAGTGGGGATGGCTGGCCCTGGGCAGTCAGTGTGATCCAGCCAGGACGGCCAGGAGCACCGGCTGTGGCATCAGGTGCAGGTCGTTCTTCTGAGAGGGGACCAGGGGCCGGCTCGGGGACCTGCAGGGATCAGGCTGGAGGCTGCGGAGGGGAGGGCGCCGTGGGCAGCTCGGGCAGCTGTGAGTGCAGCTGAGCCTGTTGTGGGCCCCGGGAGGCAGCTGGGGGTGCAGAGGAGCTTCCCTCTTGGATGTGATGACGGCTGGATCCAGATGCTGAGAGGAAGCGCCGGCACTGACCTGGCAATCCGGGAGCACGGAGTGAATGGCAGAGTGAGAGGAAGCCGGTTTGGGCAGTGCCTGGACTGGGAGCCAGGCGGTGAAGAGGGGAGTCAGTGCTCCCCAAACACATTCCGATGGAAGGTCTGTGTGGAACTTGACCAGCGTTTGAAAGTTTATCCAGAAGCAAGGATGGAGGGGGAGGAAGGGGAAGGACGCTGCCCAGTAGGTGTCTGTGCTACTGAGACGTTTTACAAGGAGCAGGTGTTCCCAAGACAGCTCAGGAGTGAGAGGACCGGGGTGCACCGGAGACCAGGTGGCAGCTGCCTCCCCGTGTGTGCGGCTGCGTCCTCGTCCTCGGCGCCTGGGGGTGGGGCTTCGTCTGCTGGGTTTTTGGTGCAGCCCTGGGGGGCCTGAGGTCTCATGTGTTTCACAGGCTGGAACAGGAACTGGGTCCATCCATCTTTTAATGGTTTGGATCTTGGCTCAAGGTC